GCTAGCAAAGTAATTTGATATGATTTCAAAGAAGAAATTACAACAGAATTTACAAACTTGTAAAGTCTAACTTGCAAACAATGCGGTAATAAATTATTTGCACTCAGGCATCCAGTAACACCTTAGTTGTACTTGGTGTATTTGGTAATTATTAAGAGCTACAGATGTTTATGCAGTATCTTTTACCCAAAGACTTAACTGCTTTACCAATTGTTGATGAAAACATTTGAAGGGCCCACTGAACTGCAGCTATACATGCAGCTCCACCACTAAAATAGATGGTAAAAGTACTCCTGACTGGAATATCTTTTCCAGTTCAATCTGTGAAGTGCAATAACAGAAATGAATGCAGTAACAGAAATTACAGTTAATACTTCTACTTTTGCAGATATCCAAGTAATTCTAGCAGTAATATGCTTCATTATGAGATGTCAGACCTGAATGTTTTTAGTTGTGTTATCTAGAAACCAAACGTAGGCAGTTAGACTGGAATTGGACGATATGACAAATCTTGGAAATAACATTTTTTTAATTTTCTGATTAAAAGTGATAGGCAATTGATTGCTACTGTCATAACTGAATGAAAAGTGGATTTTCTCTTATAATATTCACATTAATTGGTTAAGAGGGTTTTTATTCACATCAAGTGACAGCAGGTATCAGACTAACCTGTAACAATGTTCTAGAAAGCTGAAGGAGCCAACAAACATTCCTATTATGAAAATAAAACTGTCTTAAATGAGCACGGAGTCTGAACCTTATAGACCAATGTACTCAACAAATATTAACATTCCAGAGAAGACAGAGAAAATATATTCAAAAGTATACGCAAGTCATAAATACAGTTAATAACATAGGCATGAAAAACATTCAAAAACATCTGTCGAGAGACATAGGGTGAACACATTAACCCTGTTATAAAATACAGTTACAATCTGTCTTCATTGTTAGCTCAAAGATAGTATTTGAGTATGACTTCTGATGAAGTTCCTCCTGGAAGACGCATTAACAGATGTTAGTGATGGATGAAAGACAAAAGACTCCTGAACCAAAAACCAAACAGGAGGTGAACTGTAACAGAATAAAACTCGATATCCAGCTTTTCTGTTCACCTTCATCAGGTTCAAACAATGAAATCTCGGTCCAACTAGAATGTTGTGTCTAAGTATGTGGGTGAAAGAGCTATTCATTTCCACACACAATATAGTAAGCCCAAAGGAAAAAACAGAGCAACTTTCTCCTAGATTTAAAATACCAACAGAAAGCAAGCTATAAACTCAGATAAGTGTAAATTAAATTCATTATGTATGCTTTATATAAATAAAAAAATATATTATTAAAAACATTAAGTTAAACAAGGCAATGTAGGTAAAAACCTTAGTTCTGGCCAATCCTGCTTATTAGGAACACTGAGGAGATAGCAAGTATAGTTCAGAGATCTGCCTGTCCACTGTTTCTTCAAATTAAAATTATTTGTATTTTTTTGTTGTTGCTTATAGGTCCTCAGAATGTAATGAGGACAAGTAGAAACGAAGCACTTTTAAGAGCTGCAATAATATCCTTCCAAACACATTTATGATTTTGTTTTTGATTACTGTTAAATAGTTTAGGAATGTTAAAGTAACTTTCATTTTTAAAGAGCGTGCAGACTTATCTGATAGAATTCTCTGGAGGCATGTGAGAAAAAGCACTAATGACAATGTAAAATAAATTATCTCCCCTCCACACATCCACTGTCAGTGTCAACAAGTACTATTTTCTGAATATAAAACAAAACTACCAAAGAGATTGCCGTGGTTGTTGCCTCTTAAAAACAAGCAAACACGGATTCATAAAGCAGTAAAGTTCATTTTCCTACAAAGATATGTATTTATGGAAAAACATCATAATCACAACTTAATCACGATTAGCAAACTGCCTTTTGAACAGTACGTTCAATATCTTACAGTCCAAACTGTCTTGAAATTACAACACATAGGTAGGTTTCACTCAACTACAGTTGCTACAATCTTATTAAAATGTCTTTGAAATTCTATGAGAAGAGATATTTCTAGAGTCCCTTACACTTTACTTTTGTCAGTGAAATTTCAGAAAAAAGTTTATTTTTAAAAGAAGTCTAGAAGAGTGTTGTTTTTTTTTTAAGCCAGATATGCTGTAATTTTTAGACTGACGCTATCTAATCAAATCCTTACTTGTCTACTCCAGGAAATGGACACCATGTGTCAGATAAGTTTTTTTGAAAGAATGCACAGCGTTTTCAGGGCTGGGTTTCAGAAAGATTAGCTCTATGAACAGTGCAGTTGTCCAGTGGTCCACAGGTGTTTTGCAAGAATTTAAATGGAAACTGGGGTATTTATTTACACATTCCACTGCTGCACTGGAAACCCAAACACAGCAGCTTTGAGCATGATATAAAGCTAACAGTTTATCATCTGCATTACATGATGTGGAGACAATAAACCGAAATAATGCATACACACAGACTTTTTCAATCTTGAAATTATTTTAATGCCCCTTTAACAGAGGAGAAGTCTTTGGCTGCAGAGACTGGCAGTCAGATATAATTCCATTACAACATTAATAATAATAAAAAAAAAAACCAAACTAACTCTGGCTTTCACAACTGGTTTCCATTACTTCTGAATTTCATACCAAAACCAGCTTTGACAAAACAATTTCATTTCACACTACAAAGCAGGTTATGGTTTATGCCATCTACGTAATTGCTACATTAGCTGTAATGAATAGCAGACAAAAGTGACGTAAAGGGCAGAAGCTGTCTTGGAAAATCTAAGTTATTAAGAAATTACTTAATGGGTCCTCGATGCAGGATTGTTCTCACAGAACAGTGCTTGCATCACCAGTGAATCTGATGACCATAACTAACATTGACATTAAATATCCTTATTTTATACCACATTTCATCGCAGCTTTACAGACTTACAGGGTTAGCCCCATTCTACAGACATAGAAAGACTTTGGCACAAAATGGCTCATTCAGTCACTCAGAAAGGCAGCAGCACAACGTCAACAGAAACAGGTCACCCAGTCTCTCTCCACAACTTTTTTGGTTATTTTTCTAAAGTCACCACAGAGAACCCATACCAGCTCCACCCAGAATTCACGATACTGAAAGAGCATTTAGTATCTTTTCCACGTCACAACATTTTTTTGTTGGGAAGACTGCCGATTTCCCAGATTAGTTTGGAAATAAGTCCGCTAGTTACCTTTCACGTGCTCTGCGACACAGAACCAGGAGACAAAAATTTTTGCAGATGTACGTATAGGGAAGTGGGACCATTCAAGCAACTTGTCCCATACACACTGAAAACTTTATGCAAGCATGAGCTCAGAAGAACTGGAAGTTACAGCATGCAGCAGATAAACACAAAAGCCATAAGACCAGAGGGACTTAAGACATAAAAGGAGGATGAATTTTCCCACATTAGTTCTGCCAAACAGAGTGCATGTACTCTGGATCACACAACATAATAATGGCAGCATCCTCTCAGGGCTATCACAGGGGTCCTATCAACCCCCATTTTCTGGGACTGAAATGCAACATGAAGAGTCAATGGGAAGGGCTCTCCAGAACACCTTACAGAATGAAGGGGGTTGCTGCCTACCAGAGCCTGGAACGCAAAAGATGCTAGAAAGGGCACCTGGAGATTGCACAAGGCTTATAACAAGATTTTTGAAGGAAAAAAAAAAAAAAACAAGAACAAGCAAAAGGGACAGATGAAGGTGGTTCAGGGAGGAACAAGCACAGGAAAACAAAACAAAAAAAGTGGCCACCTTTAAACAGGTGACTGGTCAGTATGCTTGTCCAGCAATGCACTGTATCCTGTTGCCATAGTCTGTCCCATCTTCCTATTAAACTATGTTTCTAAATATTTTCCTGGGTGAAAGGATTCTATTCTGTGTGCTTAAGTGTGTATGGAAGCGTACATGCCAGCAGCTAGAGGCAGACAACACACAGGTGATAGGGCCCAGGTACCTGACATGCCAGCAAGCAAGGAGGCCGGAGCCCATGCATACTGCCTGGGTACACGTGTCAGTGTGCGATCGCTAGCAAACACCAAGCTGGACTAGCTGGCAAGTAGGCTAAGAGGCTTGGGAGCCAAGTATTGGAGCAGCCATGAGTCTGTGCCAGATATTAGAGAGACCAGAGGGTCTGAGAGTTGGCTACTGGAGGTAGCAGGAAGACCAAGTGAGTTACTGGAGAGACCAGGACATCTGGGGGTTGGCTACTGGTAAGTCTAGTTACCAGAGAGTCATGCTTGTATGTATGCATTTGTATACATGTATGTATGTATCTCTTGTGCACAAGGCAACTGGGAGCATGATATAAAGCTAACTAAGTAGACCAATTACTGGCAGGATCTATAACACAGGGTGTTTTTACCTGCGGGAGCACAGGTCTGAGTCCTAGCTACTGGACTGGGAGCTGTGGGCCTTTGTTGTTCATATGCCCACGTGCCTGCAGTTGGGGTGTCCAACAGATCAAGGAGCCAGCTACTGAATAGACTGAGTGCATAAGATCAGTTACTGAGGGGATCTATATTCTCTGTGTATATGTGTATCTATACAGAGAGAGATATCTATTAATTTATTTTCCACAAACAGGCTTTCACCCGGCTCAGCCAGACAGGGGAATAGGATGTGTCCATTGGCGTTGCTTGTGTTTGCCTGAGTGCTATGTTCTCTGTCTGTGTTGGTCTATGTTACCAGCTGCATGTGTATGTCTATATGTATTGTACACATGCATGCTTATTGAGAATACGTGCTCAGCCTCACTATTGGCTGGACCTTGGGACATGGAGCTATGGCACCTTTGCTTCTATCTGGCTTCCAGATTTAGCAGCTGTTATCACAAACAAAATTAAATATAGCTTTGTTAAAGTCTTCTGAATTATAATTCTAACCATTATGGACTCAAGGTGATAAGCGGTCATGAAATGCTCTTTTAAAACTCCACTCATTACACAAAGTAGTATCAATTAAATGAACCCTAAAACAAAGAGAAATATCATTATCAATTTAATTAATTATGAGGAAACAACACTGAATTAACTGTAAGACAGATGTTGAAATGCCTGAGCTGGCTCCAAGAGGAGCGATTTTCATCCAGCAATGTCAGTAACCCAGTTCAAGTGCAACGCTTCCAAGATGCACTCAGCTCCTAAGGTTGTACTCCTGCATCCACCCCACGTAGAACGGCCCTGCAGTATATCTGTGGTCAGCGCACACAAAGAGTGGGAAATGAAGACACTCAACCCCGTGAAGTCCTTCAAGTCCATCAAAGTGCATTTGCTACAGTTCAGACACTTCAGTATCTTTGCAGTGCTTACTACCTAGCTTCTCAGAGTAATATTCACTACCGGGGTAACAAACGTGTAAGTGCACACACATGAATGAACAGAGCCAGCTCTGCTCTGAAGCTATACTAGAGTTAGCTGCCCATGCTTGAACCTGGAGTGCCCACTGGAGACACTGAAGAAAACAGCTCAGATCCTGCGCTGAAGAAAAGAAACCCTCTTGAATTCTGAAAAATGTGAATCCATGCACAACAGGTAGCATTCTCTGCAGGCCAACAAGATCTCCAAATTACAACACTTTTCCACTACTTAGGGTATGCCGACTCTCTTCTTGATATTACTCTGCATTAGAGTGAGTTGACTATCATACTCATCTGGAAGACAAGTGCCTGAACAGCGGCACTACCAACTGGCTTATAAAATATCAACTTTTTTTCCTTTTCTATTAAAAAAAAAAATCATTTAATGTTTGTTTCTTTCACTCTCTACCCAGTAGAACAAAAATAATGCCACCATTGCATTACCCTTATATTAGTATTTCATAAAAGCGTAGTAAGTAGCGTATCATTCATAAGCTTTAAGATTCTCTTATGATACATAGCAGTAAATAAGAAAGAGTAGCTCACCAGCCTTGGGCATATTCAGTGTTTTCATTTCCACCTTGCTACACTTATTAACGCTGAAACATGCTTTTGTAGTCTTTACTTTTCCAGTTGACTCCACAGACTGTGTAAAATTTGCATTTTGATTCTGGCCATATATTTTAGAAAGCAATGAAGTACTTCCCTGTTTCTCATCTATCTGCAAAAGAGAAACAACTTCACAATAGCATTTCCTTCATGCAGTTGAAGAGAAATGGAGAAGAGAGCAACAAGAAGGGATCTTAATAGATACCATTCCTCATTATCGAACTGTCTACATAAATATATACAACCCTACACAAATACATGCATCCCAGTGTTCACAACAAAAAGCGCATGCACACAATACCAAACACCACTTGTGCAAGTAGTTTATGAATTGAATTTAATAGAAGTCTTCTGTAGATAAAGTCAATAAAAATTGTGATGCTTTTTTTGGTTGATATTGAAGGTTTCAAAGAAAGTTCCTTGCAGCAAAACTGCAACTCAATATACCGACATTTCATTACTAAGTATCTTGGGTTTTTAACTGCTTTTGCCAAAGCATTTCAAACATTTGAATCCAACAAAGCCCACGCCAAGATGCAATCCATACCTCAGCTACACTGAGAACTGTATTTGGGCTCAATACTGATTACTTTTATTTATCTGAAAAACATTTTTCTCCATCCGCTTCACAGAGTGAGAGAAACCTACCTGAGAAGCAAGATCAAATGTAGTGAGAGCAAAGGTATCAAAATCTATTCTGAACAGACTGATTATTTAAGCAGAGATTGATTGTGGTGAGCTCAGATGCCATCTTTTAGTAACAATACTGTACAAACAAATATACTTTTTAGTGCAATGTTCAGCTTACCTCCTTTAATTTCATTTCTTGGTCCATCTCTTTAGTTTCATTCTTGACACAAACTGTGATACTTTTTCCTGGTGGTATAAACCTTGACTTTTTGGCTACATTTCCCAGCACTTGACTTGGAGCTGCTGATCGCCTCATATTTAGTTGTACGGCTCTGGAGGGTGGAGAGGAAGGAAGGAAGCAGATAAAGACAATCAGAATAGGCTTTAAATATAAAAATATATCCATAGATAACAACATAAGCACTATTTTAAAACAAAATAAAAGATAGCGTAAAAGGTTCTCAAATAACAATCTTAATTCACAAGTATAATACAACTTAAGGAAAAGCAGTATTGTTGCAATGCATTGTTTAAGTACTAAGAAAGATCGACTACAGCAAATTCTGCAGTCGAACATTTCCTTTTTCATTTGAAAAGCCAATAATGCAGTTCTCAATAGCAAGAAGTGCTCTCGAGATGTACAATGTAGGGCTGCTTAACACTTCAAAACGTAATTTTGAAAAGCCCTTTATTAGTGCGCAATGAACAACAAATGTTGAAAGTATGTTTCATATCTGGGAGTAGTATTTTGCATTAAACAGCCAATTATATTGGTCATTCAGGTTCACTATAATAAGATCAGAAATCAGCAGAAAAAGATCTCAAAACTACAGTGGAGGTTATCACTCCGTGTTATGTCCACTTGAACAGTGGAAGGAAGTATTGTAGGTTTTCCCTCGAAATATAAGACCATTATTCCCGTAAACAACCTCAGGACAAAACCAAACATACACCAATGTTAATATGACAAAGCATACTTGCAACCAGTAGAATAACAAGTTATAATCTCAATAGTTCAAAGTAGTAGAAACAAAACAAGAAAATTCAATTCCAATAGAATAACACAGCAGCTGGAATGATGAAGACAAGCATGGTACAGCAATTTAAGGAATATATTTTGGTTTAATTCTCCATTTGTACACGGACTGTTTATTTTAATCGATCCCCCGAGCTATTAGGTAAACATAAACCATAATAAGTAGTAGAAACAAAACAAGAAAATTCAATTCCAATAGAATAACACAGCAGCTGGAATGATGAAGACAAGCATGGTACAGCAATTTAAGGAATATATTTTGGTTTAATTCTCCATTTGTACACGGACTGTTTATTTTAATCAATTCCCCGAGCTACCATAATACACATTGCAGACACAAACTTCTCTACCATCTTGAAAGCATGTTTGCATCCTGTTGCAACAGTCGGTATGTTTCTGCACTTTTTTGACACTACTCTGCACTCCAGTGGCTTACTAGGGCACAACTACCTTCCTTTCCAAGATTTGCACACAAGTAGTAACAGAGTACTGTCAAAATACTTCGTAAACATGCAGACACTAACGTGAGTACTGCTATCTCCTTCATATCTGAACAATTAGCATATACACAATGCTGTTATTAGACTTAAAACCTTAATGGCAAAATGACCTGAACTGTTTCCACTTCTATTGTGGCTGTCATTAAAAACACAAGGAAAGAGGTCTCTGGCTGTGTCAACAGCAGTTGACATAGGTTAGGCCTACTTGACAACAGCGTTAGCATATGAACTTTACTTAACCCGATGCAATAAGGGAGTAGCTTGGTTATAATAACAGGAGTACCTGTAGTGTAAACAACTGATAGGCACTGTGAAAGTCGCAAAGGTGTCAAGAACCTTCCAGAGGAGCTGACTGCGACTGCCAGTGCTGACCACAGCCAGCTTCAGGTGCCATGTGAGTTTGAACAAGTTCTCTATCCAATCCTATAATGCATGGTGACACTTGGGAGGACAACCCAGGACACCCCCCAACTCTACATGAGGGCTAGGCATAGCACAGCTGAACTGCTACACTAACCCTGCCCACTTCACTTCTAGAGCTTGTCATGTCTCCCGTGGAACAGGGGAGTTGTGCAATTCATAAACTGCATGTATCTGTGATTAAAATGTTTTCTTTTCCAAATCCATTTGGACTTTATGTTGTCATTTGGTCTTAAACCACAAAAACAGACTCATCAAGAGATTTGCAAATTAATAAGAATTTTAAAGATACGACCCTTGATAACTCAGTAACTTCACTCCCATTAAATTTAAGAACATGTAAGAATATTGCCAGTATTACCTATTGCAACTACAAAACTCATTAGGGGTTTATGTTTTTTAAAATGTGATATTGCTTCCAGCAATACATCTCTCTCTCTGTCTTCAAAACAGAAGCTTTTATAAACTATAATAAAAGCATAAAATAAATAACAAAACATAAATAAAAGGTGTATATTTTGTATCTTTACAGTACTATACACATAACAACTAAATAAACTGAGAAGCAAATATGCCCTTTCGTCTGGGACAGCCACCAATATGTTGAATCACTCTGTACTTGGCTCGGGGGAAACAGCTGGAGGTAACAAGAAAAGCACTGCTCCTGCCTTTTATTAGCAACCTAGCTTGACCAAATTAAGTGTACCATGAAACAACGGCCTAAAACATCTCATGAGTGCATCTGGTTTTGCAAGCGCTGAATTCGGTAGTTTCTTTCTCCTTAAAGGCACCTTAACAGCTGCATTAAAATAAAATACATCTCCAAAGAATATTGAAAAATTTTACACATTCAACTCAACACGCTATGCACGGAGTCCTGTTAAAGGCAGTTACCTTACTCAACTTGGCACAAACTTAACAGACTGCTTTCCTGAACATTTGAAGAGACATTCTCAGCATAGATGACGAGGCTAAATGGTTTTTGTAGACAATTACAACGATGCGACACAGGATTAATTTTTACTTAGTTAAAGCTAAACTGCAAGCAGCGAGTGCATCGCCTTGAACATCAACATTAGTGAAAAATCACTTCAAGTAAGCAGTAACTCTAAGGACTCGGAGGAGGCACAAAAAGCAATGCTATTCACATTGCTGTTACCCGGCCCACCCGGGTATCGGCCGCAGGGAGGTGGGGGGTTCTCCCTGCTGGCAAGTACAAGGGATGGGAGCGCTCAGCCCGCCATCCCCGCGAG